TTCCACCAGAGGGACTGGCAGTACAGCTTTTTGATTTGGGCACAAGACCTTCAGCACCTGGGATTCCTGTGGCTAATACTTCAACAGCAGCCATGGCTTTGTCAGCAACCTTTTCCTCAATAACTGAAGACAGAGGTGTGCAGACAGTTTATTATAAACTTTATATAATATATTAAGTTCTATTATTGGTATTCAAATCCAAAACTGAACACTAACTTTTTAGGAGTGTTTACAATTCTTATAAGTGATTGGAATCTAAATTTTAAAACCTGTTTATCGATGATAATACCAATAAAGCATTTCTATTCTTCCATATCCATTAGCTCAGTGCACTTCACAACATTTGCAGAAGACTTTGGCCAGATTGCATTTAGCAGTTGAAAATTCATTGAAAGCATTTCAAAGACCCCTAATTTTGGAATCAGACCACCACACCAGAAGCTATATTGCCTACTCTTTCTGAGAAGTGTATGCCTGGGTTCTTTAACATCCCCTGCACTCTGTTTTTTAACTAGGGTAGTTAATCCTTTAAAAAACATCAGTAGTACATGTAATTATTAATAATCGTTGAAAGAACCAAGAAATTTACTACTGTTTGGTTCTTGAAATGAAAACTGAAAATTTTAAACACATAGAAGACTGAACATTACAAACAGTCTCACTTTCCAGCTTTATTCAATGGATGTAAAAAACTAAACAAAAAAAAACAACACAGATACGTGTTTGTGGTATGCAAAAACATCTCATCCACTGAGTTTTTTGAGTGGCACTCCATAATTTGTAACTTTTGCTTAACAAAGCTGGAAAAGGGAGAATGTAGAAAAAGCAGATATGGAAAAATTTCAAGCTGCTTGAAAAGCACAATTGTTAGGAGAAATTAAAAAAATAATTCATGAAATATTGTACATGGGAAATTTTCTCCCCTGACCTGACTTTTCCACAGGTACAGTGTCCTTTTCTGGAGATGTTGGTTGCCTCCACACGGTAAACACACAGTTCATATCATCAAATCCTCTTGCCATAATACCTTTAGGTGTGTGCGCTAGATCGAAGCAGTGACCAAGTTCATGTATAGAGGCACCCAAACCAGTGGCATAATTTGCCCAATAAGTTCCTCTGAAAAGAACATAACAAATATTAACCCTTCTATTCCCAGGAATGACCAACAAAGAATTCCTCTTCATGATACCATACATTTTCGAGCAGAAAGGTAATGAAAAGAAAAAATATTACTGAAAAGGGGATATTGCTTAACTCAAAATAAAATTCTCAGAACTAGATTCATAAACAACAAATGGGGAACAGTAAAGGGAATTAATATTTAGATCTTTTGAATGAAAGGGTTAACTTTCATTCCTTTTGGGGAGTTCCATAATGGTAAAAACAAACATTGAGATATATATACGACTGCAACATTTTCCAAATTAATGACCAATGTTCTACCATTGTTATGTCATGCCATGTCTACAGGCAAGATTAATTTAATCTGTCACTTAAATCCCAGAATGTATTATTTTCCTCTAACTTACAGTTTACTGTAACAGTTGGTACCATGCAAGTTGATGTTAATGTTGAAATTTTGTTTCTATGTTTCTGTTCAGTCTTATTCACTCCA